CACTCATAGAAGGTATCCTTTATTCCTCTGGTACATATATGCACGGAAGTTATGAAATAATTTTCATATTTTATATGGCAGGTAGTCACAACATTGAGCTCTGTAATAAGAACACATATATCAGTCTGATCCTAGCAGATATTTAGTGGGTGAGAGAAAAGGAAGAAAAGGCAAGGGGAAAAAATGCAAGAAGATTAGAAGAAAGAAGCCAACACCAACATTAAACAGTTGTAGCTGACTGATATGTGACAATTGTTTCCTGAACAGGGCATGAAGCCATGTTCTTTTTTATTATTCTGAAGGCCATGTATGCATTTGGAAATTTACTAAAATAGGTATTCTAAAAGAACAATTTCCTAAATGGATCTCCAGCAACAACATGCTGGCCTTGTAGATAAACAAGGAACAAATTGGTCCTGCACATTTTGAAGCAGGCATCAACATGAAAAAACATAAGCAGTACTATGACAGACATTTTTACTTCTTTAAATCTGCACCAATAGCAAAAGCTTATCCAAAATGGTAGGAATCACTGACATAATATTGATTTCCCCAACTCATGGCAGAAATGGGTGATAGTTTCAGTTGGAGGGGCAAATAATTTAAATAATCCTCCTTCTCCATCTCAAGCTTGAGAAATACCAGCCTTGTGTTGCTGCTATATCCTGTACATATTCTACAGAGAGACGAACAAAGTCTCCAGTGACGCTAACTTGGCATTATACACTGTTCCTTTGTGTGACTTTATCTTATACAGGAAGTCAAAATACTTACTCAGGCACATCAGAAGAAAGGAAACGAGTGAAGTATACAACCTCAAAAGGAAGCTTGCACTTTGGCATTCACTTTCTCTGTAATCGTTCAACAGCACATGCATTGCTGACCTTCAGAGCACACGGCAAAACACAACTGTTTATATAACCTTTGCACAATGAGGAACATGCTTTGCTTAATCCCGCAGTGGCACCAAATGCGGTCAATGATATTTTGATCCTTTTATTTTTTTTGTTGTTAAAGTTCCCTTACCCTGGAACAGTTTATGAATAAATGAGAAAACTGAATCAAAACTTCATAATGCAAAGGAATCTAAAGCAGAACAGTATATAGGCAAAAGCAGTCACCATTTTAAATATCTTACCACATTCTCAATTAGAATAATTTGAAGCCATAAAGTCACTGTAGGTTTTCTAGTTTCTACTATAATGTAGCTTAGACTTAATCGTGACAAGCCCCAATTAAAAGGTTAAGAATTTTAGATTGAGAAACATCCTTTCTTTATTGTTGTGAAGCCAAGGCCCTGTACGCACCAGGAAATTTACTAAAATAGGTAGTCTAAAATAACTGTGTCAATCAGTTTCTCTTTATAGGAGGGTGGAAGGAAGCCTTGGAAAGAAACAGTGAGCAATACTAGCCCTCAGACTTCCCAGAACACTTGGGGTTTTGTCATAGAGAAAGGATTACTGAAAGATGTTGCAAGATGCCGAAAATACACAGAGACATGAAATTGTTTAAAGAGAATTTAAAAACCCAGAAGAAACTGAATAGGCTAAATTTTGAATTTCTGCCCACAAGCTTGGAGGCTTCTCTCAATGGGAGAAAAAGGCCAGCTTCAGTCTAGCGGGGGTTAAATCTCCCTTAGCTCTTCAAACAGTCCGTGTGGGAAGGCTCCCAAAGGAGACAACTCAGGAGAGGGAGCCAATTCTACCATGTAGCCTCAGCATAGCTGAGTGTCTCTTTTTATTTTTGACTTCAAAGGAGTATTACGATACTGGCCTTGCTGTGTTTTGTGAATAACTCTGTTTCTTCCTCCATCTGTCCCCTAAAAGCTTTTCCAACAATTTCTCTTTGAGAGGCTGTTAGTGGCTACAAATGCTTACGTCATGTTGTTTAATAACAGATATTATTCAAAACTATACAGGCTTTAGGTAACTTTAGAGATACCCTGTTTTCTTGACTATACCAATTTATATTGAACATCTTTGCAAATGCACAAGCACTTTCATGAGAAAAATGAGTAAACCAGGTTTCCCAGAAAGATTAAAAACCTCTTCCAATTAACACAAAATAATTATCTTATGGCTCATCTCTCTCTTGATACACAATATTTAATTCCTATGAAGTCAGAACTAAGTCTGTCAAAGTTATTCTCAGGTAGTATTAGAACTGTGAAAAATACTCCTGACTTCTGGGAAAACAGACAAACATCTGTAACAGAATCAGCATTTTCTGATTCTGTGAAGTGTTCTTCACCAAATACAGCACGTCATATTAAAATTAAGTATACTGCAACAAAATTAGGCAACTATGACTGGACTAACCACTGCCTTTTTTCTTTTCATAAACTAGAAATCAAACACTATTACAGCTGCCCATATTTTACCGCGATAAACCACTTTCCACGAATCTAAAACCTGAATTGAGATAATGATTTCTATGAAAATGCCAGTTAAAACGTATGTTTCGGTTAATTAGTACAACAGTGTAATATTAACTTACATTTTTTCTGTAGTTACGTGTAATTATATAAGATTACATTATATTTTCAGATATATTTTCATTAATATAGATTGATTATATTTTCAAGATTATATTTTCAGTAATTTTGTAATAAATTTAGTCTTGCAGGGCTTTATCAACAGATTTAATTGAGTGTAACTTTGCATCTTCCAGAGAGCTGTATGTTAGGAGATTAGGCTTTAGTCCTGCACTAATATCCATGTTGGCAGATTCTATCCAGAGGTATAAATCAATTACCTTCACATATGGATCTGATTGCAAGGTCAGGACTGTAGACATCAGTTGTATAATGCACACTTCCCTTTCAACTATCAAGTTAAATTAGGTCTAAATGAAACTAAGCTGATGAAATGATATATGTATATTTAAGACTGTAATTCAGCAAGATTATTTAATTACAGTTTAGGTTACTTAGGAAGTTTGCCATTTTTTCTCAGGACCCATGCTGCTATTTAATATATATTTTATTATTTTAATATTATTCACCATATTCTTTGTTCTAATAATTGTACTGATTTTGATACATAAATGTTTAAAGTGATTGAGACTGTGCATATATTTTCTTCTTTGAGATGCGGTATTTTTTACTTAGTTACAACTTTAAAAATACCACATGGAATTTAAACATGGGAGGGAATAGATTTAGACTGTAAGTCCTCTATTACATATTGCCTTGCTTCCCAGAACAGCATTTAATGGCTTTGGCCTTTGAGTTTAAAACATGTCTATTTGTCACAGCAAGAAGGGATGTTTGAAAGAACATGAAAAATTTATGTAAGAATTGAACCTCCACAAATCGAATCCCAGATTCTGTTATTGAAGACTACTTCAAAAAATCAGAACCTGTGTTACGCTACTACTTTTAATAGTCTTAGGAGTGCGAAGTAGCTAACACAACCGTCCAACTTGCATCAATGTAAGAAAATCAGTCTGACTCTCAAATCTGACGTAAGCTACTCCCTGTTGGAGGAACGACATTTAATTTTAAGCAAAATCAGTAGAAGGCACAAAAACCCCACACGTGCAAAGGTACATATACAATGTTTTCTAACACAGAACAATTTCAAGGGAAAATGATGACTACAAGGGAATGTATCTAGTGGTCTTTACCCATGAGTCCAGTCCCTTCTTGCTGCCTGGACACGTGCTACCTCCAGCTGGATCATAACTTGAAAAGGAGCCACAAGGCTTTACCTTGGAGGCATCTGACTCCCAGAGAGAATTTTCAGTGTCCTCTCAAACTGACTGTTTTGATGGTTTCTTCAGCTAGGTCAGCTAGAAGTGACCTAGTTCATACTAAATACATGTTCAGTAAACGAAATTATTTTTCTCTCTCTGGGAAGAAAGTTCACAGTAGAAACCAATTCTTTTTGGGAGCTGAATCTGTTCCCTTTGATGTCAATGTGTAAACAGCACCTGTGGAAAGAGAATTCAGTTTTAGGTCCTTATAAGCCTCTTACAACTCTGCAGTAGTTGGGAAATAGAGGAAACAAAGTGAATTGTAGCAATGAACCACAACAATGAAAATCAGATAATGTCACCCACCAAGTAATAAATTGTTCTCGTACAATGTAACAGGCTATGAGTAATGCATGCTTCGAATGAAAACAGTGGGAAGAAGCTTGGAAGAAGACTGTTTCTATTCACTCTTTGTAGGCTTAAAGCATATATTACATACTTTGAAATAAAAGATTCCTCAAAGCGATGGCATTCATAACCCTTATTCTTTGATAGACAAAGTAATCTTTCTTGGCATAAGCTTTCTTCACCATCCATCAAATAGCAATCAGATTAAAGGAGCAGCCCTATAGTGTTGAGGAAGTCACTAGGCCTGTCTTTAAATCCTCTCACCTTCACTGATTTTCGGTATCTTTTTCTCTTTTAAAGTAAAGAAGGAAAAGACTTAGGTCATTTAAAAAAAATATTTTACATTTAAAATTCTCTTTGAGTCTCTGTTAAGCTTTTTTAGGACAGGATGTTGATGCGTTTTCCCAAGACGTGCAAAAATAGTATTTACATCATATATTTCATATAGAGTTAATACGGATTCTGTAAAACAGTGACAGAAAGATAAAGGGCGCAGATTATTTTCCACGTGATTTGCTAACCAAACGTGACAAAAAGCCTCTGTTTCCCTAGCAGTGCTCTCCCTGGGCCGGCCTGCCAGCGTGGGAGCCCTGTCTTTGAACTGTTCAGGGGAGTCAAAAAAAAACCCCCCTCATTAAGGAGGTTTCTCTCCTTTTACCTGAGGCCGTGTTTGTTTTAGGTAAGTATTCTTTGGGAGTTAAGATAAAGGAGGGGCTGAAAGGCCCAGGCAAGCGCCCAGCCTGCCACAGCCTTTAGACCAGCGAATGCTATGGAGGGTGCAGCCGCAGGTCTCCCGCTCCCGGCTGCCGCGGGCGCCATCTGTCATCGGTCCC